TCATGAGTTTATGCATACAAATCAGCTTATAGCAGAATAATATTCTCCTTGAAAAATCTTTGGAGACTGATGGAGGCCCAAAAACAAGCAAAACAAAACAAAACAAAAACTTTGCTTGATTGTTCTGTATTTAGCAATGCTACTCCCTTTCTGCAGCAGCTGTTTATGGACAAGAGGCGACTTGGCATAGTTCTTCATTGCATTCAACAGCCAAGTGAGCTCCTCCAGGACAAGCCTTTGGGCTAGCAGAAGGATCAGCAGAACACGCAAGAGCCTGCCTCTGTGGATACTTGGTGTGTCTTTTGTTTCTTTTACACCAAATCACACCCTTATATACATTATTGCACTTGAATCAGCAAGGGCTACTTCTCACAACACAATCTCCACAGCAAAAACCATGGACAAGCAACACAAAACCATTTTAAAAAATCAGAATTAAAACAGTAAAATCGAACATGCAGAATAAAATCCAGGACTATATAATATACACAACAGGAGAAATATTAAGCAAGTAATACAATAAAACTGGAATAGCTAAGAAAACAAGTGTTGAATAAAAAGGTATGCACCCAGCTGCAAAAGTTAAGCAGTGAGGGTGCCAGGTGGACTTCTTTAGGGAGGGTGTTCTCAAGTGGGGTGCAGTGACAGTGAAGGCCCTTCTCCTAGCTATCTTCTCCACTTCATTGGGGTGGCTCATGGAGAAAGGTGTGTGCTGACGATCTTAGTGGTCCGGTACGGATATACGGAGGCAGGTGCTCCTCCAGGAATCCTGGCTTCAAGCTATTTAGGGCTTTATATGTTAATGTCAGCACTTGAATTGGGCCCAAGTAATGACATGCAGCCAGTGCAGGCAGACAATGTAGATTTGGTCCCACATAAGGTTTTAGAACTTCAAGGAAGTTTTCCTCCTGATATTGAGTATGCTTACCATATTCCTGGGCCTATCCGACAAATGTGAGAAAGACCAGTTATTGTCAAGTTCCTGCTTGTATCACCTAAAGAAGAATATACCCTCTGTGCAACAAGACACAAAGAGTAGCTCCAGTGGGATCCAGAGCATAGTATAATCATGCTTTACCCAGATTTCACAAAAGAAATCTGATCAGGGAGGGAAGCTTGGAAAAGATCAATGAATGGCCAGGCATCTTAATCTGAATGCGTGTGTAATTTTTCTCACCATATTTGCGGTGGACTTCCAAGATGACCTGAAGAAATTTTAATCCACAGAAGCAGCAGAATCTTTCCTTATGTGGATTGGAGTTACCCATCCTGCTTAAAAGTAGTCACACAGCTTCTGCTGCAGCCTCTGTTCAATTTCACTCTTCACTTTTCAGTGGTTGATTGGAAAGCTCCGGGCATTCAGTCATGGCTTACATACTTTTAGAAGATAAAGTTCCAGGCACTTTAACATCTTCCTCTGCTATGTTTTACTACTCCTTTTTTTGAGCTCTTTTTCTTCTATCTATTACATACTCTCCCTCTTCTTTTTCTTTTCTTTTTGTTTAGTTAGACAGTGTTATGTTTAATCAATGGTATTTCTGGTCTTAATAATCAGATGATTAAGAAAAAGCAGGTGTTATGGGTTGCACAGTTGTCTTTCTGGTAGATGAGACGTTAATTTTTAATTTGTTTTGTTTTGTTTTACTGATTTTGACTTTCCTCCCCTTTTGCATAAGTTTCATTTACATTTTTTTTTCTCTCACACTGTGGTGTTTTATCTTTCATTTTTTCACTAAAAGGGTGTAGGGCACAGTAATGAGCTTGTGGAATGTATTGGATCCATATCCTTTACTATGAAGTTCTCTGTAAGAGATGCATTTCCTAGAAAGGACAAGATTTGCATGTGTACAAGGAAAAACAATATATTCATAATAATCGCATGTTTAAAGTTACTTCTTGGAATGTCAAAGGGCTGTGGAATCCAATTAAACAGAAGAAAGAGCCCTCCAAATGAAAGGAATATGGAACTGATGTAGCTTTCTTACAGGAAACGCATCTGATGGCAGCAGATACGTATCAGCTGACAAGAGGCAGGGAGGGAGCAGTCTCTGCAACAGTTATTTCAACCAGGTTTAAGGAGAAGATAATCTTAATGCATAAATGCCTTTTGTTTTCAGTTCAACAAACCATTACTGATCCTGATGGTTGGGTTTTGATTCTGGTTGGAAAGCATAATGAGAAAGTAATGGCTTTGATTAATGTGTATGGACCTAATAATGACTCTCCAGTCATGTTTCATGAATGTTTCAGCAAAGTGTTTGATATTGGATATGAATATATGATTATATATTGGTCTGTGTGTGAGTGTATGTGTGCATTTTAATGGGATATTAGATCTCTTCCTGGGCAGGAATACATCAGCCCCTAAGAAACAAGCAACAGTGAGATTTTCTGTTCAGGTCTACATGATAGAATTTGGCCTGATTGACCCATGGAAAATATTATATCTCCTGTCCATAATAATTGTTTGCAGATGGATTAAGTTTTTGGTTTTCCCATTCTTGTTATGTCAGATCAATGACTCTAGGGTTGAAACATTTGTAATATCAGATCATGCACTGGCTTGTTTGGAACTGCTGCCTATGAATGCTTCAGGGTCTTTGGAGGCTTGACATGTCCTTGTTAAATAATGAGACTTTAAAAAATCAGATTCTCATTATGCTACAAGACTATTTTGAAATCAATGAGGATACAACTAACTTATGCTCCACTGAATAGGAGGCTGGTGAAGCTTTTATCCAGGGTTTTATTATTGCTTATGCCTCTCATAAAAATAAATTAGAAAGAAGTGACAAATAGTTCTAAGCGATAGGCTAAAAACTGTCATAACTCAATTAACCTTCCCCTGGTGTATGGTACTAGGCAGAAGTATCCACTTTCTCTTTTGATATTCATTTTATGTTTTGAAAGCCTGGCATATGCTATTTGACAAAATACTAGTGGACTCATGGACTCATGCGTATTGCATTTGAATATAAACTTATTTTCTATACTGATGATCTTCTAATGACTATTTTGGAACTCCATTATTCTGTTCCATCTTTGATGTAGATGATTAATTATTTGGCTATTTATCTGGGTATTCTGTTAACTGATCCAAGCTGGAACCCATATCTGTTGAAGAGAATGCACTCCATTTGTGTTAACTAACAGACTACTTAGACTTTGTGCTGGGTATATTCCTTATCTGGAAATACTTGTCCCAAGAAACATATTAAAATTTTACATATTACAAATTTATCATACTTACTCAAGTTAAATTTGAGTAAGTTGATTAATGAGGTCTCAAGGGCCACTGACAGGTGGGCATCTATAAAGTTAAGCATGGGTGAAGTCAATATACTTAAAATGAATATAATACCTCAAATTGTTGCTTTTTGGGTAGTGTTCCTATATCTCTAGCTGGCAAGTATTTCCAGAAGCTTTCTGGTTTTTTAATGGGGTTTCACTCCATCATAAATATCCTTGAAAATAATGCAACTTTTGATCAAACAGGGTGGATTTGGACCCCCTAATCTTTCCTTATACCATCAAATCTACTTGATGTTTTGCACTAAATTTTGTTCTTTTGCAGCTAAATTAGATTCCTCTCCCTAATCAGCTCCGGAATCTTCAGTGCTGGATCCTCTTCCCAAGTGGAACACATTGGGCTCTCATTACATCAAAACAGATACTGTGTTTCCTCCAGCTGCGGCAGCCAGAGAGCTGTGGCGTGCATGCATTTGCGCATCCATTACAGGGCAGTATTTGTGTGTGATACATTTTCACACACAAGATTAATGTTATGGGGAAATCCAGATTTGGATTGTTTGGCAGACTTGGAAGGGCAGGCTGATTTTACTCTGGATCAGCTTCTCAGTCCTGACAATTTTTTTGCTTTGTGTGTAAAAGATGAATTACTAGCTATGGCTGCATGGTGATACATGCAACAGAAACTTCTCTTACATTCAAGTTTGGTCTTGCTGCTTTTACAGCCTCAGAGCCGTCTGTGTTATTAAAAGTATTGATTGAGGCTGAATAATCACATTGTCCTACAATCCATCTGTGTAAATATCTATTATTGGTGAATAAATATGATACACAAGAGCTTGAACCAGGAATAGAATAATGAATGGGAGCTCCCTGTCTTGCCCAATCAATGGAGTGCTTAATTATTATCTATTCCACAATGGGTGATGGATCTTAGGCTATGCTTAGCTGAGCAAAGTGGTGTTCTGTGTACAATGGACACTTTGGTGACTCTTTGATAAGAACTTGGTTAAATGGGCCAGTTGTTGAAGGTGTGGTGCTGCTAATTCTGGTTTTTCCCCCGTATGTTTTGGCAATGCCTAAAAGCTGCTTCTTTCTGAGAGGAGGTAATAAGACGAGCCAATGTGGTGTAGTGGTTAAGAGCATGGGACTGGGACTCAGACAGTCTGGGTTCTAGTTCCCACTTGGCTATGGAGCCAACTGGGTGATTTTGGGCCAGTCACAGACTCTCAGCCCAACCTACCTCACAGGGTTGTTGTTGGGATAAGATGCAGGAGAAGAATGATGTAAGCTGCCTTGAGCCCTTTGTAGGAAAAAGGCAGGATATAAATTGAAAAATAAATAAAATAAATTTGAACAGATCTTGTGATGGCAAGTGCTTTAAAATTTAGGGACATTGTCTTTTGAAATATTTATTTATTGTTGTAAGCCACCCCGAGGCTTCGGCGAATGGGGCGGCATAAAAATGTTTTAATAAATAAATAAATAAATAATAAATTTACCACCTCTTGGAATTTAATGCAGGGTCAATGTAAATGGAGTCTCTTTTGACAGCTAAAAGAGTAAAATTCCAACACTGGAAGGTTAAACTATCACCTGCAAAAACACATGGGTGGAGGATCAGGTGAAAATTTCAAGAGTTGAATGAGTTGCCTTTAGGCATATTGTACAACTCATTAAATTTATGCACCAGTACCATTTCATGAGATACGGGCACTGGAGGTGCCTTTAAAATTGGACAATCATCTGACCTGAGCAGTGTGGGAAGAAGAACGACACTGAGAGACAATGGACTTTTGTCATCTTTACGGTGATTGTGGATTCCGTAGGGTAGTCCTCTCAGGACTTGGGGCCCCATTCAGACTTGTCTGGGTCACATGGTGAAACCGATGGCGCTTGGAGGCAGGGGATTTGTAGAGGTGCACCTCAATCTTGGAAGCTGTGAATGGGAAGAGACCCGGTGCTGGTGGTCAGCTACTGAACGCCCATTCCTTCCTTGACCCTGCTGCAGCTGAAGCGAAGCATTGGTGGATGCAGCCACATGCACTCCTCCTCTCTTCCCACCTGCCATTGACAAAATAAAGTGCCACCAAGCAAGCCAGCCAAGTCTGCAAGCCTTGAGGCACAGAATTCAAGTATACTTTTTAATTTACATTTTGAGTAGCAGTGATCTGGATCAATAAGACAGTATATGAGGACACAAGAGCAATTTCTAGACCTGTAGGCTAACTGTGGGTGAACAAGTGATGCTCACATTCTTCCATATTCTCTAAATATCCATTTAATGCTCTTCTCATCTCATTTACCAGGGTCATTTGTGATCTCTGTTTGATTTGCACAAACAGGACAATTGCACAAATCAGGTGCAACAAAATGGGGAAATGGCACCTAAAGGTATACATTTTCCAAAGTTGTTTGACTTCCTTTGTATGCTAAGGAATGGAATGATGATGACTGCCTGGCGACGGTGACACACGCGCTGGTGACTTCCCGCCTTGACTTCTGTAATGCGCTTTACGTGGGGCTTCCCTTGAAGACGGTCCGGATACTTCAGTTGGTTCAAAATAGAGCTGCCAGGTTGCTGACGGGGACGGGGCGTTATGTTCACATGACTCCAGTCCTCCGTCAGCTTCAATGGCTTCCCATTGAAGTCCGGGCCCAATTCAAGGTGTTGGTGATGACCTATAAAGCCCTAAATGGCTTGGGTCCTGGTTACCTGAATGAGCGCTTACATCCATATATGCCCGGCCGCCCCTTGAGAACTGTGGGAGAGGCCCTTCTCCGGGAACCCTCCGTGAAAGAAATTAGGAGAGTAGGTACTTGGAGGAGGGCTTTCTCTGCGGTGGCGCCCAACCTATGGAATGCGCTCCCCAGAGAGGTCCGCCTGGCGCCATCGTTATTTGTTTTTCGGTGCCAGGTGAAGACCTTTTTATTTAAATGTCATTTTAATTGTTAACAATATTTGCTTATTTATCTGGCCAGGGCGACTTCTTTTATATTGTTATTTATTTTATATTGTTAATTTTATATTGTTATTTTTGTATTTTGTTGTGTTGTAAGCTGCCCCGAGGCTTCGGCAAGGGGCGGCATAGAAATGTTTTAATAAAATAAATAAATAAATAAATAAATTTTAAAAATGCACCATTTGAAATTCTGGTATGACAAAAATGGATGCATTTTTTTTGACAATGTCCACATAATCAACCATTTGCCAATCTTTTTGGCAAATTTTCACCATTTTCATTCTTGCATCCAAATTCAGGGTTGTGAGCACAGTTTGTTTATGGGATTCTCCTATGTCCCCAATTTAAAGGCACAGCAGCTCTCTGGTTAAGAGCCAAGAAAGCATGATTAGAGCGAAGTGTTACTCACATCTCACTTTTTTATTCCATGTTCAGAATGATCTCCTAGATTCAGAGAAAGCTTGCCTATGAACACCAGAGAGGGTTATTACTTTCATGCCCTGACTGTGGGCTTTCCAAGGGCACCCCATGGGAAGATGATGCTGAATTAGATGGACACTTGGCAGATCCAGGAGGAATCTCATAAGCTGCTCATGATGGACTTTCCCCAGATGACTCACCAGGATGGAGAAACTTCATTTCTTTGATCTTGCAAGAATTACTGAGTTATTGTATGTGAAGTAGGGTGGATAAATGTTGCACAAAAGCATAATCATGATACATTTGCTTTATGAGGGTACGGGAATCATTGTTGTAATTTACAGAATGTAATTTTCATCTAACAATTACATTTTGTACTAGCGTAAGCAGATTATTTTAATGCTCACAACCACTTAGAAGGTTAATGGCTGTGGAGGATGAACAGTTCTTCCTAACCCTTTATGTAACTGCAGCTAAGGTAATCTAGTCCCAGGTCTTGCGTGGTGGAGAGTCATAACTAGCTATGTGCATAAAACAAGCCACCCTGGGCCTCCTTAACACTGCACATTTCCCCCAATTTCTGCATGATTAGAACTGCAAATGTTCTGATGGACTTCAACTGGCAGATTTCCAGAAACCGCAGCATTGCTTGAAAATATGGAGTAGCAAAAAAGAAAGAAAAGGTTTTGGGAAGTAAATTTAAGACAAATAGAAATAAACATGGAAATGGTGGAGGGGAAGGGGACAAAGAACAAAGAAAAAAAATGTAGATGTGAAAAAAGAAAGCAAAGAAGGAGATGGGATTGAAGGAAAATATCTCCCCCACACGCCTCTGAGTAACACTGTAATGTCTCTCCCTTAAGAGTTGCTCTAGTGATTGTAGTTGGCAAAATACCCTACCTTTAAAACTTTGAAATTTCAGTTCACTTTTTGATTATGCTTCAGCCAAATGCAGTGTTGCTGCAGGTTCTTTTTGTATAGAAGGGAAAGATTGAAACTGAAACTGTGTTTGAAGAGTCATTAATAATTCTCCTCACCCCTGCAACCAGCTTTCATTGTTTACAACTAATGAAAATTTGAAGACAACAGATTGGACACTGATGTTGGTCCATTGGAGTACAATATTGCTATGTAACTTGGCCTGGGCTAATCTAATTTTGTTCACCTAATTCTAAAAAGGATAGAGGGTCATACAGGAGCTAAAGGAATGTCCCAACAGTGAAGGCAAAGGAATGAGGAGAGGAACACATGCGAAGAGGTCCAGGTCTGGGCATCCTACAAGCACCTAGTCGGTCAGTGTGCAAACACAGTTCTGGACTAGATGGACCTCTGGTCCGATGCAACACGGTCTTTCTTATGTGCTTCAAATGTGGATTAAACCTTGAGATAGAGGATCAGCAGGATCCTAGGTGGCCAGAATTGGAAATGAAGCCACCACCTGGAAAATGTTAGTCCAGAGGCAGTGGACAAACGTCATCCAGGGTAGGGATGCTGTACATTTGTAACAGTACCTCTCCCATCCAAATATCAGTGGTTCCATCCTATCTACATAATCTCATGAGTAGGGATGTACAGATGCTGTAAAAAAACATTCCTTTTATATTTGGTGGATTGACAGGCAGCTTTCCATTGTTCACTTATGAAAATCCATGCTTAAGTCAGTTCATAAATTCCCTAAAATGTCTCTTTCCATGCTTTAGCTTGAGGGAGAAAATTGCATTTTTGGTTGGTGTTCTTGCATTGATTGTATTTTTCTAAGACTAGATCTGTATTAAATTGGGGGGAGGGAGGGGGAAAAAGGTGGTCCATAACTGGTTCACCAATCTGTGTGAATCAAAGGGAAGGCAGTCCATTGCTGGATCTATAGGCTGGATTCCTAGAAATTTGAATTTGTTTGAATCCATCGCAGATTACTCTGACATCCTTACTCATGAGTCATGAAAGGCATTCTTGATTGGCAGACAAACTAGCAAAGATGTTCTATGGCCTCTAGAGGGCCATAGAGAGGGCCAGAGAATTTTTCAGATCCCTAGGTCAAAAAAGAGCTCTGATCTCAGATCTGCGGATTTATTTATTTATTTATTTATTTTATTTTATTTTATTTTATTTAGAAAATTTCTATGCTGCCCCATTCGCCGAAGCCTCGGGGTGGCTCACAAAGCTGCTCTGCTTTGCAGCCAATATGGAAAGGCTTATACCAGCTGACCTCAGATCAGGGGCTTAAGGGGCTAGGAGGGAACCAATGAAGCCAAGATATAATATAGACCAGTAGTGCCCCTTCCCTCTCAGAAGCACTGCAGCTGAAAGCTGTTCTGCAGGGAAGGAGAATTGCAGAAGCAGTCTTCTTCCCGCTCTGCATAGGATGCCTGTAAGTCTCTGGGTTAAATGGGCTATGGACTCTCCACTAGACCTCTTAATAGACTGTGGCCTAGATGGCTTGCATCCTTTTTCAACTCGTAATGGGTCTGATGAATGCTAGCCTGCTGAGCCACCCTTCAGCTTCTGCCACACTCTGTGCTAAACATGCAAAGAGACTGAAATCTCACCTTAAAGGGTATGTGTAGGGGGGGTAGCTTGTACTCTTTTCTGGAGGCTGCTTTGTTCTTCCAAAGAGACATGGTAACATGGCATGCATGTGCTTGGGGGACAGACATTTGCATGTATTTTGGGCCCATAAATGTTACCAAATATTGGTACCACTTCATCTACCACTGGGATCAATGGGCCTGCTTATTATTTGCCTTACTAGCTCTCTTTCTAGCCTAGACATAAGGAACCAGACAATAGGCAAACAGATACTGAGAAATAAGTTTTCATATACCTAATTGTGACCTACATGCTAATGGGGTTACAGCCTGATATGAACCCAAGCACAGTTTCCCACCAGAAATCAGTCCTTTCCTGATCTTGCCGTCCATTTTACAAAACTAAAATTGCATTCAGCAAGACATGCACTTCTGAAAAATGCAAAGAATGGTGAGCTCATTTGGAAGTTGTGCACAATCACACTTTAGTCCAGCAGTACTAAAGTAAGCACAGTTAAAATGCATACAACAATGTGTACATTAATGCTTACATTATGAAACATGTGTACAAATGTTGTTTATTATCACTACTATTAGTATTAAAAATTGCAAGCTCATGCAGAAACAGGAAAAAATAGCTTATTTTTTTTTTTAAAAAAAGGCAAGTTCAGGGAGACTGAAACGGACCGATCTGCCCATCCTACGTGTGATGCAGGCGCTTGATTCATAATGGCAACCCACGTGATGGTTCTGCCTGTCTCCCTGTTCACAAAGTGTGTAAAGATGCACCACAGTCCCCAAGGCTGCTTCTGGTATCCAATCCCTTCTTTCACATGACTGGCCTGTCAAAATGGTGGTCTGCTGTTGGTATTCTATAAAAAATAAATCTACATCACATGAAGGTTTAAGCAAGAAGTGATGGTTGCCCTGATCACTGGTATTCCATCATTCCCATAGATAGGAATAGTAAAAACACATTGGAGCATCTGTCTCTGTCTTCTGCACTGCACCTTATTTGCTCTGAAGCCTTCTTTATGCGGGCAGCGTAAGTGAGAGCCTCCAGCTGTGTCCCTCTGGCTTCTTCCCACACCTGCATTGCCCAGTAGCACCAGCAAGAGGAACCTCTGACTCTCAGATTACCCCAGCAGCATGAGGAATCACACAGCAGTAGCTCCCTATTGCTAGAAGAACAATAAGAAGTCCAGGGATCAGTAACTCTGACTTCGCCCTAACACAGGGGAACACTCTCCCAGCTCCAGGGATTGAATCTGGGCCACCCAGCCACATAGCTTTTCCCCCAGTAACTGACCATTTAATGGTGTCCTGGCCTTTTTGAGTTTCCCCCTCATTCTAAAAGGTTGGGCTGCCTCTCCTAAGGATTGGTTGCCGGCAGTAGGAGCTTTGAGCTAAAACATGCAAACATTTTTGGCAATTTGGCCCTGCTCCTTTTGCCTTCAGCTGTGACCACCACCAGGATCAAGAGCATCCTCTAAAGTGGGATTTGGTCCTCAGGCTGAGAGATGTTCGGCATTCCTGCCCCCGCCTTCTTCCTGTAACCAACCATGCCCTGCATGATGGGGCAATTAAAAAACTCATACTTGAGACACTGCCTAGATTGGGATGGAAGCTGCACTGACTTGAAATCATATGAAGAACAGTCTTCC